ATAAGTTTACGTTTTCAGTTTTCAATTTTCAATTTTCAATTTTCAATTTTTTTTTTTCAATTAATTTTTTTTTCAAATAATTTTGTTTTCAATTAATTTTTTTTCAAATATATTTTTTTTCAATTAATTTTGCTTTCAATTAATCCTTTTTTCAATTAATTTTTTTTCAAATATTTTTTTCCCAATTAAATTTTTTTCCAATTATTTTTTTAATTAATTTTTTTTATTTTTTTTCAAATAATTTTTTTTCAAATATTTTTTCCCAATTAATTTTTTTCAATTATTTTTTTAATTATTTTTTTTTCATTTTTTTCAATTAATTTTTTTCCCAATTAAATTTTTTTCAATTATTTTTTTAATTAATTTTTTTTTCAATTATAATATATGTGATCCCATTGTCATAAATAATAAAAATAAATATAAATATTTTAGGCCTGAACAAACATATTTTTTAGTTTATGTTTTTAAATTTTTTTAAACATTTTATTCAAACCAAACGCGTTTGTAATTTATGCTTTTTTAAAAATAAACAAAAACTAGTTTATAAAATTTTTGTAAATATAAACAAAAAACGTAAACGTTACCAAACGCTCCCATTATAATTATTCAATCAATTTAATTTTTAAAAAAAGAGAGAAAGAGAAAGAAAATATCTACAGATATTATTGATTAACAGGAAAATGAAATTAACATATCAAGTCTTTGACTGGTGTATCAATTTAATTTTTGAAAAAGAGAGAAAGAGAAAGAATATATCTAAAGATAATATTATTGATTTACAGAAAAATGAAATCAACATAACAAGTGTTTGACTGGTGGAACTATATATACACGCATTGGTCTAACTAACAAAAAGTTTGTTACAATAGAGTTAATCTCATACAGCTCTCTTACACCCTTATGACAGTCCAGCTGTCCAACATTAGATGATATCTCAGCACTTACCAGTCCCTCTCAAGCTGAAAGGTGGGACACCATCTAAAAGCTTGGCCTGCTAAAGAGGAATCTAGCAACAGTAGAGATTTGGTAAAAATCTCAACCACCTAATCTGAAGAGGCAATATGTTGAACAACAATGCTAGAGGGTCACAATTTTTGTGGTCATAATGGCTTAAAACTGTCAAAACGATATCGTTTTGGCATGTTTTGCACCCAAAACGACGTCGTTTTGACAGTTTTGAGCCATTATGGTACTATATAAATAATATATATTGCATATATATTCATGTGATGTTAAAGTGGCATAGTGAAGGGAGTGTGTTGCTAAAGGTGTTGGCGGTTTGAATGTGGGAGAGGTTGGCGGTTCGAATCTTAGAAAAAGCAAAGAAATTGGTTTTTTTTTTTTTTTTCACGGAAGGACCTTTGGCGACGAAAATTTTAGTCGCCAAAAGTGTTTATTTTGGGCGACTAAACCGTTTAGTCGGCGATTCATGGATTATTGGCGACTAAAAGATTAGTCGCCAAATGTGTGATTTTAAAAAGTGTAAATTACTATTGGCGACTAAAAAGTTGGTCGCTAAAGAGCTATTTTTTGCCGACTAAAAAAATTTTAGTCGCTAATACCTCCGGCGACCATATATACGCGACAAAAGGGGTGGCTAAAAAAATTAGTCGCTGAAAGTAAAAACTCGACTTTCGGCGACTAAAAATGGACTTTTGGCGACTAAAAATTTAGTCGCCAAAAGTGCTTTTTCTTGTAGTGAACCAATTAATCCTATTTTGAATCATTTATATGCTAGGTTGTTCACCTCAAATGATGCGTTGCGCCGGCCTCTGGGTGTTTCGAAAAGTGAGCAATAGGCGTCGCATCGACGCCTGGGTGAGGTGAAAAACGGGCAAAGGTTCTTGCGTTTTTCTGGACGAGCGTGGGTAAAGAAACTAGTCCAAGACTATAAGTTTATGATAGTCACTTGAAATATAGGAACCTTAATTGGTAAGACGATGGAATTGGTAGATATTATGATTAGGAGGAGAGTTATTAGGAGGAGAGTTAGTATAGCTTGTGTACAAGAAACTAGGTGGACGGGTGAGAAAGTTAGGGAAATTGATGATGCTGGTTTTAAACTGTATTATAGTGGTAAAGATAGACGCAGGAATGAGGTAGGAATCTTAATTGTCAAGGGTCTTGTGGGCGGTCATTAGGAAATGGAATAAGCTGATGTTAGTTAAACTAGTTATTGGAGAAATTATAGTGAACATTATTAATGCATACACCCCTTAAGTAGGATTAGATGATCAGATTAAGAAGGATTTTTATAATTTTTTGATGAAACTCATTTTTTTACATGAATAACTTGTTATAAACTTACAAAATAAATGGTTTGAATTATTAATACAACTCTAAATTAAGACCTACAAAAAAATATATATATAAAAAGATGAAAGTATCCCATGCTTTAGTCGCAAAATTTACGGAATCGTCTGATCTAGTTTGGTCTCCATTCCAATTTACAAAACAAATGAAGTTTGTTCTCCATTACTGATTAATAACATTGAAAAATTAAAGTATGAAGTTATTTTATAGCAATTTGTATTTTTTAAATTGCCTTCGAAATTTTAAATTTATAGAATAATTTATGAAAAAAATGCTTTATGTTCTCAAGTCAAACCCTTTGTCTAAAAAACAATGATTTTAATAATTTCTTACAAAAAAATAATTAACATATTTCATTTATTTATTTATTTATTTACTTTTACTTTGTAAATTTAAAATTCAAACAGTAAAAATATGAAACAAACAATTCTACTTTTTTTTTTGTATATTGTTGACCCTAAAAGATTTGTGACCAAACTTTTTTCAACATACATTCCTCATTGAACTGATGTCTCCCATTGACTTAAACAAAACGAAAAAAACACACAAAATTTCTGATTAGACAAGTTGTTAAATTGTAGATTGAAATTATGCTTTTACTATACAGAAAATAAATAAATCAATCACTTAAAAAACATACTCCTTATCAATCTTGCACCAAAATAAAAAAAAAAAAAAACTAAAACATACACAAAGAAATATTGTTTGTTTTCTTGAACAAATCACGATAAATAAAAAATATTGGGTCTGTTTGGTAACCATTCCGTTTTCAATTTTCAGTTTATATTTACAAAAAATTTAAAAACTGTCATAAAAACTTGTTTGATAATATTTTTGGTTCATAAATGGTTGTCTCAATTTATAAATTTGAGAAAAAAACGTAAACTCAAAAAATAAGTTTACGTTTTCAGTTTTTAATTTTTTTTTCAATTAAATTTTTTTTCAAATAATTTTGTTTTCAATTAATTTTTTTTCAAATAATTTTTTTTTCAATTAATTTTGTTTTCAATTAATCTTTTTTTCAAATATTTTTTTCCCAATTAAATTTTTTTCCAATTATTTTTTTAATTAATTTTTATTATTTTTTTTCAAATATTTTTTTTTTCAAATATTTTTTCCCAATTAATTAATTTTCAATTATTTTTTTTCATTTTTTTTCAAATAATTTTTTTCCCAATTAAATTTTTTTCAATTATTTTCTTAATTATTTTTTTTTTCAATTATAATGTGTGTGATCCCATTGTCATAAATAATAAAAATAAATATAAATATTTTAGGCCTGAACAAACATATTTTTTAGTTTATGTTTTTTAAATTTTTTAAACATTTTGTTCAAATCAAACGCGTTTGTAATTTATGCTTTTTTTAAAAATAAACAAAAACTAATTTATAAAAATTTTGTAAATATAAACAAAAAAACGTAAACGTTACCAAACGCTCCCATTATAATTATTCAATCAATTTAATTTTTAAAAAAGAGAGAAAGCGAAAGAAAATATCTACAGATATTATTGATTAACAGGAAAATGAAATCAACATAACAAGTCTTTGACTGGTGTAACTATATATACACGCATTGGTCTAACTAACTAAAAGCTTGTTACAATAGAGTTAATCTCATACAGCTATCCTACACCCTTATGATAGTCCAGCAGTCCAACATTAGATGATGATCCTGTTTGGTAGAGTTGTGGAAAAGTAATTGTAAATTATAACTTAACAGATTATAACTTATAACTGTGAACATAAGCTATTAACCTGTTTGGTGCAGCTGTGGAATTATGAATTTAAGCAGCAGAGTAATATTTGGTTGATAAGCTGTAAAATAACTTTTTATTGTATAATTGTCTTTTTTGCCCTTCTATGATATAAAAATAATTATTTTAACATTTTTTTCAGTTTTAATTTTAAAAAAGTTATTTCATTAATAAAAGTTAATATAATTAGTATTACAAAAATTATTATTTTCATTAATAGTATCAATTAGTATAAAATTATTTTATTTTTTCATTATAAATTAATTAGTGTCAATTAATGGCTTAATTAGCATCATTACTTTTTTTATTTAATTTATTAATTCATTACAATTAATATCAATTAATATCTATGTATTTATATTAAGGGCAAATTACATATACCCCTCTCGAGGTTTGGCTAAATTACAGATACCCCCTGAGGTTTGAAAAATTACGAATTCTCCCCTGAATGCTATATTTGCATAAGAAATTAGGGGGTAATTTGTTATGAAATATAAATCTCAGGGGGCAAATTGTTATGAAAATACAAACCTCAGGGGGCGGGATGTAATTTTCGAAACCTCAGGGGGATATCTGTAATTTAGCCAAACCTCGAGGGGTATATGTAATTTGCCCTTATATTAATGTTGTGATGTTATTACATATTATTTTTCTTTATATTAATTTCAATTAGTTATTTAATAGAAGTTATAATATTTTTCTTTATATTTCATTTTTTTTCTTCAATTTTAATTTTTTTTTTAAAATTGTGATTATGTTTTTATTAATTTTTTTTCATAACAATTAATAATATAACAATTGTGCAATTTATTTCTTTATTTAAATTGTGCAATTTTGCAATTTATACCAATAATTGTGAAATAAATTGTGTAATTTATTTAATGGATATAAATTGCACAATTTATTTCAATATTAATTGAAATATTTTTAAAAAAAAATTAAATGGAACCCTATTTGCCGGAGCCAGAACCGGAGCCGGAGCCGGAGCCGCCGCCGGTGGTCTGCACAATTCAAATGAAACCCATTACTTGTTTGGCAAGATTAATGGACGACGACAACAAGCATCTCAACATCCACTCATACAAGTTAGGAATTGGAAAAAAAAAATAACACTTTGAAATCACACCTAGAAAAACAATAATGGTAACTTGTTCGTCTGAAGCAATAATCTGGAAATACCCACAAAAATGGCATCCTTTGAAGCATCCTCTGAAGTAACTTGTTCTTCTGAAGCAATAATCTTTCATTAAAACCCACAAAAATTTACACTTTGAAATCACACCCAGAAAAACAATAATCTGGAAATACAATTATATAGATATAGATACACATGATTGGAGGTAAAGGAAAGTGCGAACTCCATTAAATGGCATCCTCTAAAGAAATTTTCTTCGGAGATATAGATACGCATACAATCCTCGAATCAGAAATCCACCGGTTATGTTCTTGTTCTCGTTCATGAGTGAGAGAGAGAGAGAGCTCTGGAAATCGCCTCCTCGCCGGAAATCTCCCACCGAAAATCACCTCTCCTCTCTCTCTCAAGTGAACAGTGTTTGAATATGGGGTTTATATAGTTAGATTTTTGGTAATAGTTGAGATTGACTAGGGGCATTTAAGTAATTTTATCTCTCAATTTTTCAGCTTCCCGCTTAAGCTCAATCCAGAAACACCCCCAAGCCCACTCAGCCAAAAATCGCTTTTTTAGCTTAATTTAAGCTACAAAAAGTGATTTTAAGCTCTACCAAACACACCAAAACAATTTAAAATAATCTAAAAACTGAAATAAGCAGCTTTTAAGTTCTACCAAACAGCCCCGATATCTCAGTAATAGTCATACTAGTGAGCCCCAACGGCCTTTGTTAATCTAGCTGAAGCTGTTGTGTCCTCAATTTCTTTAGCTGTGTTTGTAGCCTTGATTTCCTTTGGTCTATTCTTTGAACCAATAAATTACACTTACCAGTCCACTCTAGCTGAAAGGTGGGACACCAACTAAAAGCTTGGCCTGTTAAAAGAGGAATCTAGCAACAATAGAGATTCGGTAAAAATATCAACCACCTAATCTAAAGAGGCAATATGTTGAATAAGTAATTGCTTGGTAGGGTGTGGATCCTGGGGCTTTTTGGATATAAGATGCGTTTTCACACTCATATTATATCAACTTACTTTTTCATATTAATAGAGTCATCACTTAGTTTTAGAAGAATTAAGAAACTTTTAACAATGAAAACTAAGTAAAAGACTTGATCCGTCACAACCAAACAATCCAAATTCAGGAACGAAGGCACAAAAAGGAAAGGTCTTTGAATGATGCACCCATTTTTGTCCAATCCGAAAATTGACCTCTAGTAATATTCTATTTTATGAGGTTAGATATTAATTATTCTACAAACTTCATTATTAATCCTAAAACCTTTACTAACCCTAAAACTAAGTGATATTAATGAATAAATGTCACTCAATTTAGATTCATTGAATAAAGCCATATTTTTCACCAAAAATCATATTCTTCATTAAAAATCATATTTTCAAAACATGATGGCCATAAACATGAACTAAATCAAGCAATATTTGTGAAAATATCCAAAATAACCAATTTTGCATGAAGAACCTAGCTTGGATTATTGAAAACAATACACCAAAACAAGCATATGCCAAGAAAGATAGGAAACTCACCAAATTCCACCACCATGCATCCAACATGCATGATAAGAATAAAATAATATGCATATGCCCTAAACATGCTATTATACATACAAGATGCGATCTAGGTTCGGTTTAAGGGTTCTAACATGATTATAATACACAAAAAGCAACTAACAAGTAAAAGAATTCTAAACTAATATACATGATACTTAAACCGGGTCATATGCATGAGAAGATGAAACCTAAACTACCCTAAACATGCAGCAACTATAACCTAAACAAAGCATGTAAAAATAAACTAAAAACATGCAAGATAAACTACCCTACATGATGAACATGCTATGCTAACATCCTAGCATGATTAGGTGTTGAAGTAATGAATTAGAAGCTACTAAAAATAAGTAAAAACAGTAACTTACTTGCTGGTTTAAAGATTAAACCGAAGAAAGTGAGAAATGCCTTGAAATCCTTACTTGCAAGCATCCCTCAGGCTTGGACTTGCTTTGATTGCTTTTTTTCAACCTCAGATACACTTTTGGAAGTTGAAAAGCTGCTGCTAGGGTTTGAATATCTCAAATTGGAGGGTGTTAGGTGAAGGGAATAGGTGTTTCTCTCTCAAGGCTCACTAAAACACTTCAAAAATCAATCCTTTATAAAAGGGAATGGGAGGGGGTAGGGTTCTATTTATAGGCTTAGGGAAAGCTTGGGGAACACCCTTGGTTGTCCTAGGGTTACCTCTTTGCTTTCTCCTTGCGCCTCCTGAAGAAATAGCAACTTAAAACCATAGACTGGATTGATAGGATGTGCGGCTGTACAACCCATCAAAGTGGCATGTGTGGGCGCACACACCATGTGTGGTTGCATCTGCGACCAAGCCTCTATGTGTGGGCACATGTGCCCTCGATGCATACAAGCAATGCATGCATGCGTAAGTGCATGATTTTAAGCTTTTGAACCCTCCTTTTACCTAAGTAGGTCCAGTCGATTTCCCATTGACGTATTTGCATAAGATTAATCCATATTCTGAAAATATTCATCAATTCAAACTCAACCGAACCCCTTACCTTTAATTGGGGATCAAAAAGTTGGGTTCGGGATAAAAACCAGTTCAAGGGTAAAATGATTATTTTTACAAAATTATGATTTTGTGCCAAAACGAGGTTACACAATAACTTCTAACAACCTTAAGCATCTCTAAGGATGTAGTAATTACCATTTCATCATCGGGAATGTAGTGTCCCGGGTCTTAGACCCGACTTGTTTATGTTAAGTGGTAATCATTACCTTATATTTACAAAAAAAAAAATTTGGACTTTTGAAAAGTTGTGGGTTGCACTTAAACTTTTAGTTATTATAATTGGGACCTTCTCTTCATTGTTTAGAGTCTTGATTGATGAGTTAACATGTTGGTTATGCAAGATTAGACCAAGAATGCCAAATTTGAATTTTTATTTTGAGAGTGTTCACTCTTTTGTCTTTTTCGTTCTCCACATTTTAAATCTTGATGTGAGGTTAGAACCATTGGAAAGCTTATTTCTGGAGCTTCAATTTAGATACAAAATTGACCATATTCCGTGTGACACCCCGACCTCCGTACTATTATATTATATTGATTCAATAAGTTTAATTACATGATTATGTGTTTAATTGTGTGGTTACATGTTTAATTTTGTGGTTATCAGTTATTATTTGGAATATCTGTTCACTTATTGACTTAGAATCAGAAATTGAAAGCCCAAACGACTTCAGAAGCTAAAATTGACTGGCCTAATAGGCTAATTGGAATATTTAGAATTTTATGGCAACTTTTGTCAAAATTTGATTCGGACCAAAATAATTAGAATAAACTGATTGAACTTAGTTAGAGTTGAACATAATTAACCACCTTATTCACATATGATTAGGCTAAGCTAATCACATGTATATATAAGTGATATAATCCTTACTTGGCCTCAAATACGTAATTTGGCTGAGATTTTAAGAGAGAGAGAAGAAGAACTCAACTGAGAGAGAGAAAGAGAGAGAGAAAGAGAGAGAGTAAGGAGAAATTGAAGGGAATTGGTAGAGAACTTGAAGGATCAAACTAGGATACACTTGAATTCACATCCTAGGTATGGAATTCCTCCTTAAATCTTGAAAATAAAACATGTAGGTCATGAATTCAAGAAGTTACGAGTCTATTTGCATGTAAGTAGAAAGAATTGGCTTGATTATGGAAGAATTGAGTATAATAGCATACATGCATGCATAATTCTTCATCTTTGAGTTCAATTTTCTATGAATTCTTACATGCATGGAACTTTTACACGTTCATTTAAAGAGTTCTTCATGTTTTTACACTTGTCATGCCATTTGATCAAGTTTTGAAAAGATTTGAAAAGAAATGAGGGCAATACATGTCATGCATGGTTCCAACTTCATGATTTAAGTTTGATTTTGAGAATTGAGTCCATGATTTGAGCAATTGGTTTCAAATTGACTATATTTTCAAGTTCTAAAATGTTTTCCCATGTTTTTGTACCAAAAATACAAGTTTTGGACCTTTGAATATCAAATTTAAACTTCAAACACAGTTCTGAAAATTCCAGAATTCGTCCTGTCTGCTCGAGCGAAGAAAGTGTCACTCGAGCGTAAAAATCGAGCTCCCAGTAGTTTTGCAAAATTTTGCAAACCACTCGAGTGGCCAAAGTTGTGCTTGAGTGAGGACCCAAGATTCTATTTACTCAGTCTTCTGCTCGAGCAACTGTCGAGCATCTATCGAGCAGAAAATTCTTGCAACCAGTACTTTTGCAGAGTTTACAGACTGCTCGAGCAACCGAAGTTGCGCTCGAGCGACCACCCTTATTTTTGAACCCCCGCTTGAGCGAGGACCTATTTTCAGTAAATTTTGACTAACTCTTTTAAGTGCATGCTTACATTTTCATGTCATGTCAAGTACTATTAGGCACCAATTGAGCTCATATAAACATGGAATGAGTTAGAAACACATGAGGAAAATTTAATTAAAGCAGAATGGTTATTGAACGGTACTCAATTTGTATTTTTGTTATGTGTTTTGTATAGGTGGACGTTCGAGGCCTAGTGTCAACATAACCCACTTTGAGTAATAACTTTATAAAGATATGTTCAAGTTATGTTACTTTCAAAAATGATATTGGTTATTGAAATTGATATATGAATGATTGAAAGATTTATTGAAGTACTACTTATCCTTAAGGAATGAAGTTCTATTTGAATTTGTAATCATGGCATCCTTTAGCGAGGCCCTTGCCTGGGGGAGATTAATACCATGGCCCATTAGCCCTCGCCCGGAGGAAACAATACCGTGGCCCATTAGATAATTGAAACATAGAGATCTCTGATGTTAGACCTTCATGGTCACATTGAATATTGAACATTGATTGACCCTCGCAGCCCTATTGTTATTAAAGCATTATTACTCTATTGGATGTGCCACATGATTTGAATGAAATGGCTATTGATACAAGGTTGACTAGATATGTGAAAATGACATTTGTAATGATATTGAACTTCATTAATATAACCTCTTTATTCTGTTATTACTCATTGGGTATTAGCTCACTATTTATGTATATATATATGTGTGTGTGTGTGTGTAGGTGAACAAGTTAAGCATCAAGGATAGAGAGTGCTTCGGAGTCACCCAGTGGTCAGCCTTTTGTGAAGCTCCCGAGAATGAGCTAACTTGGACTCGTGTGGAGCCAAGCATAGACTAAACCCTTTTTTGGTTATGAACTCTTAGCTTGGTTTTTGGTATAGGGGTTTTGTGTATGTAAGACTTGACAAGTTTGAAATTGTGGGCTGAATGTTGTTTTAAAAACTTTTGTGATGTATGCACTTACCTAATAAATGGATGTACAGTGTTAATGCGAACTCTTTTTATATATGCACAGCTCAATGGACTATTTCTATATTTTAATTTGCTTCCGCTAAGCCCCATAATTCATGTTAAATCGATTTTGTTACTAGAGGCCGTAGGTAATCTAAGATTACTGGCCGGTCATGACGCTAAACCTATAGGGGCAGGTTTGGGTCGTGGCATTCTGTTTCCGAACGAGGGAGATACGCCTATTGGAAATCACCCAGCAAAAGTTGTCTGGTCAAATCTGCAGGAGTGAAAATTTGAATTTTGTGAGAAAGCCATTTTTCCCTGAGTTGATCTGCACGAGTGGTTTCAAAATTCGCACAAGTGGATTTTGCGTA